TCTCTCTTCGTTTCGGCTAGGGTTTTCGTCTTTGTTTCATCCGTACACTCTAAGGTGATTTTAGGGTTTTGCAAATGTTTCTTCTTTTTCGACTTTTGTTGATGATTCTCTATAGGGTTTATGATTTCTTCCCCATAGGTTGAGTGATTCTTAGAATGTGGCTTCTTCAATCTCCGGGTTTGTGGTTTTTTTTGTGGGTTCTGTGTTTTTTCTTTTATTAAGCGTTCCTTGTTGACGAAAAATGGGTTTTTTTGTTCTTCCCTCGAAACTTGAAGACTCGCATGCAGCTTTGTTCTGGGTTTTTTTCGCAGATTTCAGAGTTGAAATCCGCAAAAGTTTGTGTTTTTCTTCTTTGTTTACTGCGATGGTAGCTTCATCTCTCTGATTTTGTGGGTTTTCATTTCTAGTGTGAAGCTTTCTCTGGAGGTTGTCCTTCCAAAGATTTCGGCTTTCTGGGTTTTTCCTTTAAACAAAGCTGTAAACTTTCGCAGCCTCTGAGAATATTATGGTCGATGGTTGCTTCATCACTTTGATTTTGTGGGTTTTCTTCCCTAAAGTCAAAGTTTTGTTGAGGTTTTACTTCCAAAGATTTCAGCTTTCTGAGTTTTTCCTTTGAGCAAAGCTGTAATCTTTCGCAGCCTCTTTGATTTTGTGGGTTTTCTTCTCTAAAGTCAAACTTTTGTTGAGGTTTTCCTTCAAAGGTTTCATCTTTGTGGGTTTTCCTTCAAAGATTTCATCTTTATGGGTTTTCCTTCAAAAGATGTCATTTTTATGGGTTTTTCTTTCAACAAAGCTTTAGATCTACACTGTATTTTTGCTAGTACGTGATGAAAGCTGACATTTTTCGGGTCGTACATGCTTATTTACCCTTGCATGCGTCTTTCTGTGGCACATTTTTCAGACTTAGTCAAAGATGTTACTTCTTTCTGTTTGTTTTCATAAATGTAGCTTAGTTTCAGGCTTGGATTTGTGTTTGCTCATAAACCCAAACTTTCTGTGTGTTTTGATAAACGTAGCTTATTGTGGTTTTCAGACTTTGTGAAAATTGTTACTTCTTTCTGTGTAGTTTGATAAACGTAGCTTAGTTTCTGGCTTGCATTGTGTGTTTGCTCATGAACCTAAACTCTCTTTTTGTGTGGTTTGTTTGTGCAGGACATGGATTCTACTAATGGTAACGGCAATGGTGCTGATGTTGAATCAGCAAACGTGAGTGAGGTTGCTGATGCATTGCCCCCTCCTCCACCAGTTATACCTCCCAATGTTGAGCCTGTGCGGCTTAAAACCGAACCAGCTGAGAAGAAAAACATGCGAGTCCCTATGGCTCGGCGTGGCTTTGGATCAAAGGGGCAAAAGATACAACTGTTGACTAACCATTTTAAAGTCAATGTGGCTAATCTTACCGGCCACTTTTACCACTACAGTGTATGTTTTGATACTGTTGGATTCATGTTTCTGTCATTTGGTTTTGGATGATGTCAAACTAATGGGATTAATCGTTGTTTTGAACAGGTAGCTCTCTTCTATGATGATGGACGTCCTGTTGAACAGAAGGGAGTTGGTCGAAAGGTGCTTGACAAAGTTCACGAGACTTACCACTCTGATCTAGATGGTAAAGAGTTTGCCTACGACGGTGAGAAGACGCTGTTTACCTTTGGAGCTCTCCCTAGCAACAAGATGGATTTCTCTGTGGTTCTTGAGGAAGTATCTTCCGCAAGGTAAAAATTATCACATTGGTCTCTTGTTTGAGTGCTTTAGTTTCGGTTCTTATTTAGAATTTTATGAGCAGGACCAATGGAAACGGAAGTCCCAATGGGAATGAAGATCCAAGTGACGGTGATAGGAAAAGAATGCGTAGGCCTAACCGGTCCAAAAACTTCAGAGTGGAGATCAGCTATGCAGCTAAAATTCCTCTACAAGCTCTTGCTAATGCAATGAGAGGGCAGGAATCCGAGAATTCCCAAGAGGCGATTAGGGTCTTGGATATAATCCTGCGTCAACATGCGGCCAGACAGTAAGTGCAAGTGTACAGACTGTTTTCTTTTAATCTCATATCTGTATTGTCTTTCTAATATCTTTTTTGAAAAAAACTGTAGAGGATGCTTGCTTGTGAGACAGTCATTTTTCCACAATGACCCAAGCAATTGTGAACCTGTTGGTGGTAACATCTTGGGCTGTAGAGGATTTCACTCGAGTTTCAGAACAACACAGGGTGGCATGTCTCTTAACATGGGTATGTAATTTCACCTGTCCTTGATATTGGTGTTTGTTTATTTTTTTGTTGCAGTTGTTTAGTGTCTAATAGTTTTGATATGTTCCTATGGCAGATGTTACAACCACAATGATAATCCAGCCTGGTCCGCTGATTGATTTTGTTATTGCTAACCAAAATGCAAAGGATCCGTTTACTGTTGACTGGTCTAAGGTGATCTACTTGTGATATGTGGATTTAAGCATGTTCCTTTTCGTTAGCTCTAAGATAATGTTTTCAACAGGCAAAAAGAACGCTCAAGAACCTGAGGATTAAAGTCAGCCCCTCAAACCAGGAGTACAGAATCACTGGCATGAGTGACAAGCCATGCCGGGAACAGATGTAAGCTGCTATTCACTCAATTTGACTTTGTAGTGAGATGCATTTGTTTCTGTTTCAGTTTGCTGACTTTCTGATCCCTTTTGAAGATGAATATTTCTCTGAAGTTTGCATATTGTACCCTGTCTAGGTTTGAAATGAAGGACAGGAACTCGAAGAATGAAAATGGAGAGTTTCAAACTAAGGAAGTGACAGTGTTTGACTACTTCAAAGAAGAACGAAAGATGGACTTGCAATATTCTGGGGATCTTCCATGCATCAACGTTGGGAAGCCAAAGCGACCCACTTATATTCCAATTGAGGTTTGCCTCTTTTACTCATCAATGTTCTGATGGTAGTAATATGTTTTTGAAATGCTAATGTTTGTAACTTGGGTTGAATTTTCGCAGCACTGCACCTTGATTCCCCTTCAGAGGTACACAAAAGCACTGAACACGTTCCAAAGATCTGCCCTTGTCGAAAAATCGAGACAGAAGCCCCAAGAGAGGATGAATGTTCTTTCTAAAGTAAAGTGTCCTGACTACTTCTTAACTCTTGTGCTTTTTTTCAGACTGGGATTTGTATAACTTTGGTTTGATGTTTTCAGGCACTGAAAGTTAGCAACTATGATGCTGAACCTCTCTTGCGATCCTGTGGCATCTCGATCAGCTCCACCTTTACTCAAGTGGAGGGTCGTGTTCTACCAGCTCCCAAGGTATGGAAAAATTGCTTGGTTTCGATTGGATAAATTTTGTTTTAAAATTTCGCTAACAGTTTTCTTTTGTCTTTTTTGACTGACAGCTGAAAATGGGATGCGGAGATGAGCTGTTTCCAAGAAACGGTCGTTGGAATTTCAACAACAAGGTGCCGTTTCTCTTTGCATTTCTTTGTATTTACCTATTGAGATAGTCTGATTCCCTTTGTGTGCAGCAATTTGTTGAGCCAATCAAAATTGAACGATGGGTTGTGGCCAACTTCTCTGCGCGCTGTAATGTACGTCAGCTAGTTGATGATCTTATCAGAATTGGAGGATCGAAAGGAATTGTAAGTAGGATTCTTCTGTTTTTTTTTTTGAATTCTTGAAAATTTGTATCTGATTATCAATATTGTAAATGTTAAATGCTTCTTTCTGTTTATTGTCACAGAAAATTGATGGTCCCTTTGATGTGTTTGAGGAGAATCATCAGTTTCGCCGTGCTCCTCCTCTTATTCGTGTAGAGAAGATGTTTGAGGAAATCCAGTCCAAACTCCCTGGAGCACCACAGTTCATACTCTGTCTGCTCCCTGAGAGAAAGAACTGCGAGCTCTATGGTTGAATATCTCTTAACTCCAGCCCTTAATATGTTCTTGTTGCATTTATCAGAATGTTCCTTTGATAGAAACTTTGAATTCCTCCTCAGGTCCATGGAAGAAGAAAAACCTAACTGAATACGGCATTAGAACTCAGTGCATGGCACCAGTGCGGCAGCCTAATGATCAATATCTTACAAATTGTCTTCTGAAGATCAATGCAAAGGTGATCTCTGTTTTTCTTTCTTTCTTTTGTTATAATAGTTCATTTGCTGCTTGTGCAATCTCTGATACACATACACTACAGCTTGGAGGCCTGAACTCAGTGTTAAGTGTTGAACGTACACCAGCCTTCACAGTCATTTCCAAGGTTCCAACCATCATCCTTGGGATGGATGTCTCACATGGATCTCCTGGACAGTCTGATCACCCGTCCATTGCTGCTGTAATATATTTCTCTTTACTGTTTTCATATATTGCTTGCTTTTGCATCAGCCTTTTTATTTGGCAAATTCTTCAATACTGTTATTCAGTTGTCTCGATTATTATGGTTTCCTTAGGTGGTGAGTTCGAGAGAGTGGCCTCTAATCTCCAAATACAGAGCATCTGTTCGCACACAGCCTTCAAAGGCTGAGATGATCGAGTCCCTCCTCAAGAAAAACGGAACTGAAGATGATGGCATTATCAAGTACATATACTAACTCTGTGTGTGGCTTTTTTCTTATCTTGCATGAGCTCCGGTTTTTTAAAGTATTTATGTAACTTGGTTTGTTGACTGCAGGGAGTTACTGGTAGATTTCTACACCAGCTCGGGTAAGAGGAAGCCAGAGCATATCATAATTTTCAGGTAATGGCTTTGTTACAATAACACCTTTTGGCTCTTGATTTTTCCCATTCTTTATTTTCTCATGTCGGTTGTTTCAATGCTTCTAGGGATGGTGTTAGTGAATCTCAATTCAATCAGGTTCTGAACATCGAACTCGATCAGATCATTGAGGTATTTGATATATACAAAGTTAGAGCAGTTTCCTAGTGTATTTCTTGCAACTCTGGTAGTAATTCATTGCATCTCTTTCCTCAGGCATGCAAGCTTCTAGATGAGACATGGAACCCGAAATTCCTTTTGATGGTGGCTCAAAAGAATCATCACACCAAGTTTTTCCAGACTGGGTCTCCTGATAACGTTCCTCCAGGTGATGCACTGATGGTGATTGATTAATCTTCATTGTATAACCTTTTTAACACAGGCATGATCTCATGGTGTGTTTGGTTTTTCTACAGGGACCATCATCGACAACAAAATATGTCACCCAAAGAACAATGACTTCTATCTCTGTGCTCACGCTGGAATGATTGTAAGTATCATCTCAACTCTTAGAAAGCTGCATATGTTGATTGCTAGTACAAGTGTTTGTTTCTGAATCCTTTTAACATGTTTGTGTTTTGAATTAGGGAACTACTCGCCCTACCCATTACCATGTCCTGTATGATGAGATTGGTTTTTCACCTGACGAACTTCAGGAACTCGTCCACTCGCTCTCCTATGTGTATGTAGTCTCATCCTTCATTGCTACTTGTTTTGATCATTTGCATTGTTTTGGTCACAGCAGAAGCACCACTTATTTTCTTATGTTTGCCAAATTTCCAGGTACCAAAGAAGCACCACTGCCATTTCTGTTGGTAAGTATCTTATTCTTTTCTCTACTCCATTTGATTCTATTCCCATGGAATAACTGCTGACATTTAAATAAATTCTTGTGCAGTTGCACCGATCTGCTATGCTCACTTGGCAGCTGCTCAGCTGGGGACGTTCATGAAGTATGAGGACCAGTCTGAGACATCATCAAGCCATGGTGGTGTCACGGCTCCAGGACCAGTCTCTGTTGCACAGCTTCCAAAACTCAAAGACAACGTTGCCAACTCCATGTTCTTCTGTTAGATGGAAAAAAAGCCTCTTAATGTGCAGTCTGTTTCTCTCAACTTGGTTTCAAAACTTATGCAGTAAGTAATAGTAGCAGCAGTGATCTTGCTTTTCAGACTTTTATCTTAGGATCTTTTGGTTTTTAATCGGTATCGACACAAAGGCTTGGTATGTTTTGTGACTATTTTGGCCAGCCTTTGTTGTCTGTGTACTTTGCCCCTTAACTATCTATCTAGTGGTTGTTTTTAAGAATGACTTTTGATGAAGTGAATAATTCTAAGTTTAGGAAGTAACTCTTCTGTTTCAGTACTTAGTTTCGTTACATG